GCCTTGATGATATCCGTTTCGAACCTTTTACTCAAGGCCACATACAGACCAATCCTGTCTGACCCGTCTACTTACCCCTTAATGAAATCCGTTATACAATGCCATATACAGTGACGACTTTCGCAGTTCTTGATGTCATCTCGCGCATTTCGACCTCATGCGGTCTGTCGACGCACACAGCGGAACCCTCACTATTCGCAGTCTACTAGTAGTTTGGTCGTACCTCCCTTCCCCACTCCTCGGCTGAGCTCGAAGCGTGCTGTGGCCGATCGCGTCTGGGTTCCTCTCGTCTGGCCTCGTCTTTGACGCGAATAGTCTCATTTGGCGTGTCAATCCTGCCCTGACGATGTCGGTTCTGAATCGCGTATACAATAACACATCCGTGTCAGTCCCCGCCGACCCGCATACGTACCCCTCAATGCTGACATTTATTTCTGCCCTGAATATGCCGATTATATTCCGTTATATACCGCCACATGCAGGCCAGTTCTGCCCGCATTTTTCTGTTATTATTTTTTAGCGAGGGGTTTTTTAGATAATTAATCCAGTCATTTTAAAATTTTTATGTGCAGTTTTTTTCACATCTCGCCAATCATTTTTCTTAACGGACTACTAATTCAGAAACTATGAATTACGGTAGAATGATATTAACGTAATATCGGTAATATCATTCTGCCTATAGCAGGCGCCGCTGTGCGGCTGCTGGTTGGGCCCGAGAGAGAGTCCATAAGGCACAACGGAACGAGTGAGTTCCGTAAGAACGATCGGTGAGCGCCCCCTACCATTACTATGAATTACATTTTGTACAGATTCTGCCTACCTCGTCTACAATTCTCATGCAAATTCATTTTTTACTTGCTTTGATGGGACCCCGACGGGTCTTTAATAAAAATTATTATCATTAAAGACCGGGTGGGGATCAAAGCGAAAGGGGGGATGCGACCATGACACTTCTTTGCCGACCGACCAAACTACTGGCAGATAAAGAAAACAGAGGATTGCGCCGTGATCGACAGCAGACCGCTTGGTGTATAAATTGGGAGATGATATCAAAAACCACGAAAAGCATCGCTGCAGGGAAAGAGCCATCACAGTGGTTACAGAAGTCACTTAAAGACAAGGGTTGTAAAAATATAGGCGAGCCTCCACTTGAACAAGAAAAGCGTGTAGTAACTACGACTAAACTCCAGGATGAGCCTTCTCAAATTCAAGGGGCAGAGTGTTCGGGAATGAAACAGCCAATAACGACTTTATTTTTTTCGGTGTAAGATGCTTGCACAATTTTTATTTGGATAAAGATAGTTAAGGCAATGACTTAAGTTCTGGTGGAATATTATTCAAAAGAATGGCACAATCGGATGCAAAAAAGAGAGAGACTTTATATGTAGTACAAAGAGACGACGGAAGCATCATGGAGGATTTACGCGCGACATAAGACCGATCCCTCGGAGGGAGAGGATGTAGCGGCACAGCAGTGAGAATAAGTGCTCTGAGCGCTACAACCACCAGGTCGAATACCAAGTCCTAAGGATAAGACAAAAAGCACCAGAATGAGGGAGTTATTTTGCGCAGAACCAGGAGCTGTCCTCTTAGGCGGCAGTGGCCAGTGGCGAAGCCAGGGCTGGTGTTGATGCGTCCAGTCACGCCTGAGGGTTTCTGAGATGGTGGTGACAGCCGCTTTTGTAGGCTCGTGGGCCAAACTCAAGTGGTGGCCAATTGGTGTGTGTTGCATTTGCCAAGGGGTGGTGTCCCAGTGGCTTGTTTTACTGGTTGCAGGGGTGGCGCGTTCAAGTGGCGCATGGGCAGCCGCGACTCTGTGTGCACGCAGTTGTGTCCGAGCTGAAGTCGGTCGCGTGGCTTCAGGTCGGCTTGTCTTGGACGGCTAGCTGCAAGGGGTGAATGACCTTGAGGCAGCGAGGTCTTGAACAATGACACCCGACCGGTCATGATGGCTGCCGGCTACGAGGGTCACTGTGCGGAAAATCAGAGCTAGAGTTATTGCGAAACAGGAAGCAAAGACCAGCTTCGAGTCTCCTAATCCATAAAAACTTGATGTCCGCCGCCTGACGCCTCTCAGTATAAGAAGTGCTGGATGTAGCATGAAAAAAGAGTTTCCGAGTGAAAACCCTCTGAACATTTTCGACTTTATTACGGCCAAAGTCGTATAATTGAACCAAAGAAAGGGCATTAGTACTCAAGGACAAGAAAAACGAACATTCGATGAAGTCTTGACTTTGTTTCTGAAAGGAAAAATTATGTGATATGGACCCACTTACCTACACAGCTTTGGCAGAGATTCTATCTGCCTGACGTGATGAAGTAAGCTTATTTGTATAGCTTAGACGTAGGCCTTATATGGTGAAGAATTCCAATAGTGAGTTATTCTGGAAAAATTATAGACCCTGACAGCTTGGCAGGACCAAAATACATGAAACTACACTTGGGCGATGAAACCGCCATCCGCCATGTTGACCTCCATTTCCATACATGTAGTTAGTCGATATCAATTTTTTCAACGCAAACATTAGCAGTCTTCGTAGAATATGAATAAACACACTTGGGGTCATCGGTGTAAATAAACCTTTGCAAATGTCTGATTTCAGTACAAATATCATTTGTGTAAAGGAAGAAGAGTAGCAGACTCGGGACCGTGCCTCAGAGCGCGCTACTCGTGATCGAGTGAGGTGTCTGGTAGCTATTACCAACCGTGCTTTCCTTCGGCGATTGGATAGGTAGGACGAAATAAAGTTGGATGGAGGAAGCCGAATGCCGAGAGCCTCCCGTGTTAAAAAAGACATCTATGTGGTACTTTGTCGAAGGCTTTAAATAAGTGAATAATTAGTATTCAAGACCCGCAGGCGTCCGGTCATAGCCAGTAAGAATATACTTTCACATGAACTTAAGAACAGCTAGACAGAACGTATACAATACGTAATTCATCGTTATTGAATAAGCAGTCTGTTACGAAGAATGATGAGAAAGCAGTGAAAAACACCATTATCGAATAAACAAAATGAGTATGACTGGATTAACATTATGGGCGAAAAAACAGTCTCTAATAAAAGGATAAAAAGCGGGCAGGTCCGGCCTGTATGTGGCAGTGTATAACAGATTTCATAAAGGGCTAGGTATGTGGGTCAGACAGGACTGGACTTCATGCGGTATTCACAAAAAGGTTCGAAGTGGACATCATCAAAGCAGAATTCATATGTCAGATAAAGCTGTTCACGTCAAAGTGACGAGACAAAAATAACCCAAACGCTTTCGGTCACTGTTTGCTTCGAGTCCAGCCGAGGATGGGGCGAGGGAGAAACGACAAAAGCACTATTAGATGGCGAATTCAGAGGATTCCCGCCGTGCTCATCAACAAGCAGTTTGGGGTCGAAATGAGGAGTTGACATCAAAATCAACGGAAGCCAGCGATTTGGGCTGAGGGTTCGAAATCGCAGGGGCCAGAGTGGAATTCTGATGAAGAGAATAGAATAGGTTTATTATTAGCGCCCCTTGGGCACTGCCAGTCCCTTTTGAACTAAGGAAAAAAACCTAAAACAAACTCATCCATTTCGACTGCCCTTTGACTTCATAAGTTCTGCGTGTCTGTTTAGCCAAAAGAGCCATTCTCTGAAAAGTTATGGAGAGGATCATGAAGATTGAGTTGGTGCAATTCCTCGAAGTTTACGACTTACTATCGAACTGCCAATGCGGGTCCTGAAAAGAAAGATCCTGTAGGACAAAGTTTCTGCAATTACTCCAGAGATGGATTCAAGCTCTAGATGACAGCCACGCTGTTCACATAGCTTTTATCGGCTACACAGCAACTGTTAAGCAATTGTTTGCAACCATGACCAGCCTCCGAGGTTACACATTACGACTTCGAATTCAACGAACACAGCTGGGTGAATGGAAGTTTTCCTTCCCTTTTAGAGTCCTCAAAACATAGAATGACCTACCCACAGATGTTTTGATGCAAACATCGATAAAAAGTTTTAAAGGGAACCTTGACATATATACGTTAAGAAATGAGTAATAGGGATAACAGTCTGAACTCAGTCCCTAAGACTCACGCCAATTTGTCTTATTATGATAGAATCATTTGAACTATTTTAACCAAAATGGTTCCTCTGTACACCATATCCAATTTCGAGTTCCAAAGAGGATACTCAGAGTTTCAAGCCTACTTCTCCAAATAAACTGAACTGAACCTAACAATTTCGGTGATTTCCGTCCATAACCTTTCAGTTATCAATTTAGTTTTAGGTCGACACAGGTATTCTTTGGGGAGATGGCTTCCAATTTATCGTATCTATACAGTGTAGACAATGTTTTGTGGAAGTGCAACAAATGCCTCTGACAACCGAATAAATAAGTGCCTTTCCAACTTGGGAAAGCGGACTTTCGTGAAATCAATTTGCTTCTTAGAGTTGGAGGCGAAACGCTGGTGAATGGGTTGTTAACTTTCGTTAGTTTGTCTTCCGTTGTTATTGCTCCCACAGCCGCCGTTGCTTCTACAGATGTATCGGGTCGCTCCTGTTGTTGGACCTTCTACATCAGGAATCACTCACACAGACTCGATGTATAAATGTTCCCCAATTTCGTCAGGATGTAATTCTAACTCCCGCAACGGCCCTGCCGACGTGGCAGTGTATAACACATCCGAACGTAATCACTTTGATAATTTTTTTTCTAATGAGCATGCTCCTTGCTCAAAATTGGGCCGCGCATTGCGCAGTAGAGGGGAGTTGGTCGGAGGTCCGGCTTCGGAAAAAGCAGTTCAACCAACTAGGTCCTTTAAACTTTCATCCAAAAATACCGCTACAAACACAAAGGGTGAAAATGAAATGTGTCTGGACAAGTTTATTTTGCGAAAAACTGCGGCTCGCTCTGAACTAGGCAAATACATACAGTCGAAAACATGCCAGTTGGAAAACCATTTACCTGACTCCAAACTTCACAAGCGACTGACTGCAATCAATGTGCGACTAGATGCGATCCTGAACGCTATGGATCCCTCTCCAGCCAACACAACGTATGAATCAACCTCTACTGCACGCTGTTCCAAAGTGGAGGTTATTATGACGGAGCGGCTACGGAAGGTGGATGCCCAGGCCTCTGTTGTTTTGTCCGCTATGGACTCGAAAATTAGCCATTTAGAGCTGTCAGAGCGCGGCGACACCGTTGTTGACCTTGCCATCCACTGTGACCCCGCAACACCCCCTTTTGCCGTTCTTCTTTTCAGTAAGCTTCTAGCAATGTCAGGTCACCCTGTTTCGGTTCAATTCTATCGCCATTCTTCGTTGTCCTTCCTTCCAAACAAGTTGGCCGAAATTGAGCGCCACTTCTCAACACCAAGCCGATTGTCTTCTGCTAAATTCATCCTCTCTGTCATTTGGAAGCCTCTTTCTTTTGGCTGTAAGGGCATCTCTAATCCTTTTACACAGTTACCTGTATATGGCCAGGCGGTAATTCTGCTGCTTCTGAGTCGCATGGACTTGCATGGAAGCAATGCCTTTGAACTTCTCTCACACCTGGAGACCAGCGTAACTAACGGTACGGAAAACCAACGCAGAGAATATTTCAAGAAAGTCGTATCAGTAGCTGGAAATGGCTTATCCCTTGTCGATGCGGCTCTCTTCACTTATTCGATACAGTCCAAATTAACAGAAATGTTGCAAAAGGAAGTCAAACCCTGGTTTGACAAATGCATGGCTGTTAAACAGTTCAGTGAAACCAAAAGTTTGATTGAATCTTGCATGTAGTTTGGTTCAATAAACTGCTTTGCGCTTGTCTAAGTTCTTCGTTTGCACAGGGATGACCGGAAAAAACATTGGGCTGAAACATCGACCTTAAACGTTGGTTACACTTGAAAACTGTACCCAACTATCCGCCAAGTTATTTGTAAACCCTCGACACTGAGCGACTCTATTCGTCATGCGCACTGAGGCTTTATTACTGACAACTCGAATATGATCGATCACTGGCGTGGGTACTTCGAGCACCTTTTCAACTCTGATGAGCAACACATAACAGCCTGGATCTCTTTTACGCCGGTGTCGTGCGACCCCCCCTTCCTAATAAGTCGCTGATGCAGTGTTAAGGCAGCACAACAACAACAAAGCACCCGGAGAGGACGGTATTCCTGCTGAGATCTGCAAGTTTTGTGTCGACATTCTGGCGCCCTGGATCCGTCAGATGATTTAAGAAGCGTGGGGAGATGAAGTCGTTTCTGATGACTGGGGCTCGGGAATTCTTTGGCCTGTCTTCAAGAGGTGATAAGGAAAGGTGCAAGGGTCACCGCGGGATAAGCCTATCGACGTTGCTGCAAATATCTTCGCTGTTGTCCTCATGTGATTCGGGGCTGTGCGTGACTCTAGAACGAGGCCTAACCCAACCGTTTTTCGTCGTCCACCTCACGAGATCAGTGTTGCTACCCCCGGTCCGGCGTCGTTACCCACTTAGAAGTCATCAAAGAGGTCAAATCGAAACCCGGCTCGACACAGTCCTTCACGACATTAAAGTGTTCCTCGAACCTTTGGTATTTGGTCCCCGTCGCTGACGACCAGCTGTCCAGCTCTGCTGCCGCGGATCATCACGCGTAGTATAGTCCATGACACCATCGTGGCCGGGTGGATCAGACATGATCGCAGCCGTACCAAGCATAACTACAGGTTGGTTTGTTTTAAGATTTGCGCGCACCGTCCGTCCCCAGTTTGTCGAGCAACTATCATCAATGAATTGCATGTAAGGGGTATGTTTATTTGACAGTGGAAACAGATATACATGTTTACTAGTTATTTCCCGATAGACCCTTTTCCCGAAACTATTAAGGCCCTAGGATTCCATACGCGAGCCGTAAGTTCGAAGTCGTAGACAAGACTTGAGACCTGTTGAGAAACCCGAAGGCTTCTCTGTGCGTCTTCACTGCCATGGAACCAAAGCCAATCACTAAAGTGTTCAGGAGAAATATTGAAATAGGTGAACTAGGCAAGCGCGTCCAGCATCACAACGGTTAGCGGAAGCCAAACGGCGCAGTTGGAGTTGATAGTGTCTTCGTCTGGGATAGCGGAACCTCTTGGAGTCCACGTGTGTGGTTATCACAGCCAACATGACTTAGACTAACTTCACTGTGTTTCACTGATGCCATTTGTGCTTAAGTGCATTAGTAAGTGAACCTAAGGTAAACAGCAGGAAATTCTGCGCGAAGACAGACTGCTTAAAGTAAGGGGAGAGAGAATTTTTATCTGCATCTGTTAGTTAAGCAGTGTCAAGCGGATATTGTTTAAACTAATTTTATCCCTTTGAGTAAAATGTCAGATACGAGCCCAGGAAACTCGGGTTCTCCTCTTTTCAGTGATGAGCGGCTGCTTCAAATCGACCAGACCGAAACACCTCTCAGGGCTGGAGCGATTTTTGGATTTTACTGTTCATACGCTCCACTGTACTAGAATCCGAATGCCTGTCGCTTCAGTTACGGTCCATATAACTGCAGCGCTGCTTTTCAGAACGTCTCACCCTAGCCACACAAACCAGCATCACTCACGATTTGCTGGGTTCCACATTTTATGCAACAAATTTTCCCATTACACTCTATCGTTCTCATCTAACTTTGTATTTCAATCTTGATATGCGTTGGGGTGGAGCGCAATTTTGTGTATGTTTGTAGGCGACCGCTATAACTGCACCACCCGCCGTCCATGTTAAACGCCCCGCCGCGTCAAGGTCATTTACATTCCCTGTGGACCTTATAATCTACCTTGGCTGGCTGCAGCATCTGTGCACCACAGGCCTTCTTGTCTCACATAATGCGTCATACCATTTGGACAAGAGATGCTTGGACATGTTCCCACAAGCCCACGAATGTAGCCGGCATCATACGTCCGTCCTCCAGGTACTAGTTAGTACACCTCAGTCCTTACCCTTGTTAACAACTGCAGCTGCTAAGAATATTGCCGAGAGTCCAGCAAAACCAATCACACTGACGGCGGAAATGAAAACCCTGTTACTCAAAGTCTCTTCACGCAGACGCAGCCAATGGACTTCTGAGAAAAAGCCTTGACCGGACTGATTCCCCGATCTTCCTAGCGGCAATAGTTCGGGTATTATTCTCGATCCACCCTGTTTCACACGGAGAAGGTAGGGATAGGTTACCAACTGAGGCCACCGTTGTGTGCATTTACTCCTTTACTTGCTCCTGTGGAGCAGGTTGTATTGGTTGAACGGGTATTCGCCGATTCACGACAGTTCGACCGTCGTACCCGACGATGTCCACTGTGGGCTTTAGAGCAGGGTGAGAGCAGAGATGGTGACTTTCGCGTGAGTTAGTTTATAATGATTGTGGACTTTCGCAGCAATTACCTCACTTCCCCCCCCCCCACCTGGACCCGGTTTCATGAACAAGTCGAAAAGACCGGAGGCGGGAGAGGGCGCAGGTGGCTGACACAGGGAAAACACTCACCTAGGCGTACCAGCACACCCCCTGGTCCACAACAAACACCTGACCAGGATTTTCAACAAAAAATAGGGGGCGACACGCACTCCGATTGGTGCGACGTGAGTCTGTAGTTGAGCCTGCCATCACACCCCGAATGTTGGCATGTATTATGAGTGCGCATTTTCGATAAGGCCTGCCGGACTCCGATCTGGCCCCTGTGTTGGTTCAGCGCATCTACCGCAGGGCCCGTTTTAAGGGCAAGATGCCTATTCAAAAGAATACCGGAACACCTGGCATGGTTGGCAGAAAGCGAAATTAAAAGCATAAACGAAGGTTCGACCGTTATTGCCGACAACGTCCACCGTGTGCTCCACGGCCAGGCGAGGGCAGGGACGGTGACTTGTGAGTGATTTAGTTTATAGTGAATGTGGGCATCTACCGAACTCTCTCCTCCCCCACCTGGACCCGGTGTCAAGGCAGATTCAGAAAGACCGAAAACGGGGGAGGACGAGGTGGACGACACGACCGAGCCCGCATCGTGGCACTCCACTGCACACCCCCTGGTCCACACACCAAATGACCAGGATTTTAACCAACAAAACAGATGGGGCTGGCGCGGCCAAAACCGCACCTAGGCGTGCCGTCACACCTGGCTTTGATCCCACAGAATGGGAGTGCCATAAAGGCCATATTGAGGAGAAGTTTCAGTCTGACTCTCAGCCCAACAGTCTGCCACTCCACACAAACACTCACACAACTGGGCAGACTACATGGACTGAGTTGGGACGTCAGTAAGCAGCCTTTTAAGCCACGGTGCTGGACGCACCATGATAGTCTCAGACTCGGATCACACAGGCAGCAGAGGAGCCGCATGGAGACAGAGCCGAGACACGCACATCCCATTTGTGTGGGAGGTGGCAGTTGGGTGCTTGTGGTGGGTGATGATGTGTGATGCCGGTGGAGGCAGATAAAGCATACACACCGCCATTCTCGCACACATTGTTGATCACGAACATCGTGTGGACCCCAACGAAGTCTTACGTGTGGTTTATAAGGTTGCGCCGGACTGCTCTTAGACACTAATTTGGTGTTTTTTTTTAGTTACAGTAGAAGCGCCTGTCATCCGATTACGGAAGCCGGTCTTCTGCACGTGGAAGGACCGGGTACCAGCTCCACGTTTATCGTGGCATATACTCTTCCGCGCCCTTCCCCCTTTCCACTAACCCTTACGTCTCCTAACTACCTGTGTCTTAGTACATACCCTCCCCCTATTTTCACACCCCACTTACATAAAAGGGCGAGCTGTAGTCGGTTTATCTTATCAATCACGTTTTACTTGTGCCTCCTTCCCATATAAATGTACTTGCACAACAAAAAGCTACCGAC